CCTCCTTACTCATCCTCAACCAAATTCCTTAGTCGTCACCTCGTCCTCCAAATCCAAAAAGTCGCAATCTGCTCCTTCTGATAAAGAGGGCAAGAAGTTGGATTCGTTTGGCCGCCGCTTCTACTCTATGGGAGCGTTGGCTGTGAAAGCTTCTAACTATCTCGCCTGCATGGGTCGATACCAGTACACCCTGTGGGAACAGATGTCCGACCTCTTGATCCATCTGCCTGAGGACAAGCTGTATGCTGCGAAGCTCCTCCAGAAGGAGGGCATGGTGGTCGCCAAGCAGCAGTTGTCAACAACCAATCATGTTCTGGAGGCCTCATCCAAGACCATGGCGTCAGCAGTCGCGCTTCGGCGTCATTCTTGGTTGAGAACGACCTCCCTTCCCTACGACACCCGTACGTCGGTGGAGGATATGCCCTTTGATGGCCTGGGCCTTTTCCATGCCAATACAGATTCTTCCTTACAGGATCTTGATAAGAGTATCAAGGCCTCCCGGTCCTTGGGGATCTCCTCTACGTTCCGCCATTCCGCCAAACCGAGGTCTTGGTCCCGCTCTGGGCAGAGAGTCCCATCGTCCCGTCAGTCTCCAGACACCAGATGGAGGCCTAGATCTTATTCTGGCAGCCAAAAGTCCTCCTTTCAACGGTCAAAGGCAGGACCTGCCCCCACAAACGTCTCGTCCCAAACAGGGCAAGTCGTCCAAGCAGAGTTTTTGACTTCCCTGTCCCCGAGTCAGCCAAAACCCGCCTCTACCCTTTCATCCGTTCCTGGCGCCACGTCACTACAGACGAGTGGGTCCTCTCCATCATAACCCACGGCTACAGGATCCAATTCGACCGTCCACCTTCGACACCCACAGTCCTCACCCCACCTTCCCCACCTCTCCTCAGAGAGGTGTCCCTCCTTCTGCAAAAGGGAGCTATCGAACCAGTTCCGTCCCACTTCCAACACACGGGATTCTATTCCCGATATTTCACAGTCCCGAAGAGGGATGGAGGTCTTCGTCCCATCCTAGACCTCAGGGAACTGAACAGGTTCGTCACTTACCATCGCTTCCGTATGGTCTCCCTGCAGCGGATTTTGCCGTTACTCCGGGAAGGCGTCTGGATGGCCACCCTCGACCTCCAGGACACCTACTTCCATGTCACTATCCACCCTTCCCACCGCCAATTCCTGAGATTCGCAATTGGCCACCTCCACTACCAGTACACGGCTCTTCCCTTCGGCCTTTCCAGTGCCCCACGGGTATTCACCAAGACAATGATCGTCGTCGCAGCCTACCTGCGTCTGTATACTGTGTGAGCTTCAGGAATGTGTCTCCAGTTAATTATGCCCTTCTGATAGCTGAACTGGAAATGCCTTAGGTAAAAGCACCAGACTATAGTAAAACAATATGAAAATATGGCCATAAACATTCACAAGATTTAAGACATGTGAGGTAGCTTAGCCTTTGACTGCCTTGTTTGTATGATGGTTACAGAAAGCCCTGGTCTTCCATAAGAGGCCATGAGGGAATTCAGGAGATCTGATTGCTAGAAGAGAAAACGAGACAGCTACCCAAAATAACCAGGATGCTATCTAGTCACCAGCAGTGTTCCCTCTAAGCTGAGTTAGTGTGAGCTAATTCACAGTTTTTTAGCCTCGGGCTCAAACTAATTTAAGCAGTAGCCAAATTGCTCGCTCACAACTTTAATACCAGTAGCTCACAAAGTAGACTTTTTGCTCACAAGACTCCACAGCTTAGAGGGAGCATTGGTCACCAGCTACCAGTCACCATAATAAAAGAATCTTTTCAAGTGCCAAAAGCTAAAAACTGTGACATCATAAGAATGCAATTGTATGGGGGTGAAGAATCGATTTGTCCTTTAAAGCATCAGTCAAGTCTGACGCATTTAAGCTTTCAGTAGATGATGATACAGCAGTGACTTGAAAAAGCCGTTTTTAGTGGATCATACATGTTGAGCCACCATTCACAACAGCAGATATGCTAGAATAAACACTTCATAAGTCTGCCCTATAATCACATTACTGTTGCAGAGTTTTATCCCATATTACTCCATAACACTTCTACTGGTTTGTTAGTCTTTAAAAATTACATTCTTCCAAGAGCCTCACTATGTGTTACCACAATTTCTGAAGCAATCTTTCATCTTCTGGTTAAGATTAAATCTAATGTAACATTAAATAAATCTAATTTAATAAAATTAAAAGTTCTGGTAGCAACAAACTAGTAAATGTAATTAAGTATAAAAATCTTTGATAGTTTACATATCATTTGAATCATTTATTAATTTCATAGAAAGATACACTCAAATTTTTGAGGAGCTACTAAATCTTTCTTGTAAAAAGTGACAACCACGCTGGTGCAAGAAAGGAGTTTGTAGCCTTCTGTCTCCTTCACATACTGCATGCTCAGTCAGAATGAAACACTGTTTTAATTTGGGGAAAGAACAGTGATTTGATATGACGAGAGAATAAAGACTTTGCCTTAAATTATGTTTTTAATGTCCTTTAGGAAAAAGGGTGAATTTAGCGATTTGTGAAGACTGCTTGGTAGTGGTCCTATGAAATTACTGTCCACCCAGCAGGAAAAAAGGGTTTTTTAATTTACTATGTTTATAGCCTGCCTTTCTTGCTGATATTTAAAGTGGATTACACAATATAAAGCAATCAGACCAGCATAAAATGACCAATACAATAGGAATAGGATTACAGAATTATTTAAAAATGCCAACATGTTCCTTAGGACAATATATAGTATATACTATAACTGGTGCAGAAAGTGGAATTATGAAGATGTAAGACACTGCAATAAAACAAGCTACCTGTAATAATTAGTGCAGGATAATCCTATTCCGTTATAAAAGGTGCCCTTCTGGACTGTTTCTTTCTCTTACAGTTCTAATCTGTTTACAAAAATTCCCTCTAGAATTCTGTTTTGCACATTCCATGGAATGATAGACGTTTGAGAACCTTCCTGACTTTTTCAGGCAGGCTGTTCCACAAGGTGGGAGCCGCCACTGAGAATGTGCATGAATAGCTGGTTGCTGATGTTGCCCATTTACAGGGCTGCACCTTCGAAAAGCTTGGCACAGTACACAATATTAAAGGCTACTGAAATACCCAGTAAGAGCAACAAAGTGGCATGATCCTTGTCTACATTCAAATGGAAATAACTGACTAAAAGAAAAACAAAGGAGACTGACTTCCACAGCAGCAGAAAACAGAATTTCTTCCTGGAGGTATAATGCACACAAAAAAAAGTAAAAAAAGAGTGTAAAAAAGATTTAGCATAGAACTCTAAACAAAAATATGACAATATCTTCAGCCAATTATAAAATGATAAAAATGCACTACAAAATGGCAAACCCCACAATAAGCAGAGGTCATTTCAGGGGGATCGCGGGGGATCACAGTTCCCCCGGGTGAGATACGGGGGGGCGGGGCACATGACGAAGCCCCGCCCCCTGCTTCCAGCTGCCCCGCTTCCGGCCCTCATTCAGCCAGGAGGAGGCAGGAGAAGAGGGAGGGTAAGTTGCTTCCTCCCTGCCTCTCCCCACCCCTGCCTGCCTGGGGCCAGGGAGGGCCTTCACGGGGCTTCCTTGCACTCCCGCCGGCCTTGCAGGTCCACCGCCGGGCCCCTCATGGGGCTCGAAGGTGGAGCTGCAAGGCCGGTGGCGGCGGCCGGGACCATTGGGGGCAGGGTGTGTGGCCTTATGACACACTTCCGGTGATGTCAGGGGGTGTGGCCTTATGACACACTTCCGGTGATGTCAGGGTGTGTGGCATATGCTAATGAATTATGCTAATGAGTTCCCCTAGCTCTTTTATTTTATTTATTTATTTATTTATTTCCTTC